TGTGTGTGTGTGTGTGTGTGTGTGTGTCAGTCAGTGATGGATGCTTTAAAGTGCTATTAAAAGCACTAAAAGAGGGGCTGTAACAGCAGCTGGGCGAATGACTTCAAGTCGTTGATGCTCTGCTGCAGGAGGTGCGGACTGGAAGTCTTAACATTATTCCTTAATGCTGCCAGTGTCTGCTGCATTGCAAAGGGAAAACACTCACTGATGCAGGGATGCAGACTATTGCAACTACTTCACATTTTCTTGCCCTTTACTTCCCTTTCCCTCTGAGTATGAGCTGCTTAACTGATACGTGTACTACAGTAATCCCCTTCTTAGTGAATGGGATTAATATTTAATTCAAGAAAAGCCTTTTTATCTTTCCCTACTGTGCAGTCAGTGTTCGTTGTGTTCAGTCAGCATTTAGCAAATAGAAGGTAAGTGTTGTTAGATAGGAAACGCATCTCGAAATATGTCTTTGGAGCTGTTACAGAAAGAAATATAGTACAGCGAGTTGGTGTAGAGTTAAAATATAAAATCTGGATGTTCTGTCAAATTTTTGATTGTACTGACAAAAAGAACAACCTTATACGTAAAGACCGGAAAACACATGGTAACTAGAAAAATACCATTAGCAGTATATTTATGAATATTTGGCTTTAAACTGTCTTACATGCAAAGTTATTATTCTAAAATACAGATACTCCGTGAACTCAGTCTATAATTGTTTTTAAACCTCTCTGCACTTTATCCTTGAAACTCCACTGCTTCTACCGCAGCACTGATCCAGACTCAGCCCAGACGGGAGAACACTTGACAGAGTGAACTTTAAAATGATAAAAACCTGCCTCACAGATACATATTGTGTATGAATGTGTATAACTGTTTGTAGTTTGGGACAAAGAGGAAAGTGAATAGTGTTTCTTTTATCAGCACTAAATGTTGGAACTAATTCCTCAATTTAAAAAACGTTGAAACCTTTTTTTTTTAAGCGACTTGAAGCTTTGGGTCAGCCTGTTGCTCCAGGACACGTCCATCTTACAAGTTAGAATTCTTTGTGAAATTTCGAAATCTCTGGCACAGAAAAACTAAATGCACAGAAGCAACTCTCTCTGCGTGTTCACTCACAGCCAGGAGCAAAGGCCATGAAATCCATCTGAGGTTATTGTCTAAGAGCGCAGGAGTTTCATGGTGTTGAACAAAAAGACGAGATGCTGTCACCACAGGGGTTTATCTGCAATGCTCAAATTTACAACCTTTCAGAGAGAACCCTCAAACTATAAACCATAGGTTTGATTTCTACACTTTCTTTAAATGAGTATGTATGAACGATCATAAATATTAGTTGACGAAAAAAGTTGAGATAGAAATTCAATCTCTGGAAACTTCTCGTCAGCATTGGCTTATAAAGAAATACATTTTTTCATTTCTGTCACTTTTCGTGGTTCTTCTCTGTTCAAGGCTGACAAGTCTCATATAACTGCTGCTGCCTTCAACAATCAGCAGACAAACAAAGACTGATCTATACTGTGAAATGCTGAGGTGCCCTTGAGCAAGGCACCATGCCCCCCAATTGCTCACGGGGCGCTTCTCCTGTGGCTGCCCATCACTCTACTCTACAATCTCTATCCAAAAAATGTGCATGTGCATGTCTTTGAGCCCTCTGTGTGTGTGGGGGGGTTTGAACTGCATGTGTAAAAAAAAAGTGTTAAATGAGTTTAAAAAGAATTTCCCCTAGTGGGATAAAATGTAATGAAAAAGAAATGTACTTCAAGTCATTCAGGCCATTTGAAATAAAACTATTCAGTCAACATCTCAGGAAACATCTGAGTCATGTGTGATTTGTTTCATTATGGAAAGTTGCTGCTGGTGGATTTGGCTTTGGCTCCACCTACTGGTTTCAGTTATTTACCATTTTATTGTGCGTGTGTGTATTTGCGTCGTCACAATTCTTCAATCCTTGGAAATCCATGTTCATCCCCCGCTTTCAAAGTTCACCAGACTCACACTAGAATCAGACACAAAAGACGTCTCGCTCTCAAATCAAACATATGTTATTTCAGCTTTATAAATCCAAAATAATAATAATAGCGAAAGTTATTGTGTTTCACAGAGATAGGAACCCACAAATACATTAAACAAAAAAGAACCTATCAGAATAAAGGTCAATCAGTGAGTAGCATAGATTTGACATCAACCGCTGCTATGACATGTAAAATAAATATTTAAAAAAGGAAAAATATGAAGGTTGTTGAGGAACGTGCAGCTTCTTCATCTTTGCTCCACATTCAGTCATCGGTTTGTGGAGGTGGTCGAGCTGTCCTACGCCTCCTGCAGCTAAAATGACACAGTCTGAGTCTGCAACACAAAACAAGAACAGAAGCAGATTATTAACTGAGAGACTGCAGACAGACACACTCTCAAACACAAACTAAACAGACGAGGTTCTGGTGCGGGGGGGGGGGGTCTCTGGAAGTGATAACATGCAATATACTGATAATAATAAATACAAGAGCAGAAGCAGATGAGTGACCAAACAGCCGAAAACACGAGGACAACTAGTTCAGAGGTAATTCAGGAAAATTCAGATCACATATTTGACTCCAAGCCACTAAATTAACTATACTACTACATAGAATAAGCACAGAATATGAAAAGGGTTTGTGTTAGAAAGTTTAAACATAAGTTTGCAGTCCGACTTGGTAAGAGTATTTTGAAGTGTTACACTGTTTTGGATCTAAGATTAAAAACAATAGAAGTTAATTTGCTGCTACTTAACATTTTGCTTGGGTTAAAATTCAAATACTGAAATAATAACTTGTAAAAAAACAATGTTAAACGCTGCAGTAATTAGTCATGGATACACAGATTATTTTGCTGATGACAAACAAGTCGAACATGATGAAAACTCCATCATGCACACAAACACATGCTGACAGACACGATGAGCAATACCTCTGAGATCAAATTACAGCTTCTCACCCTACAGCCAGACAAGCAGACATGAGTGAGCTGATCGGTGCGTCTCATTAGCTAAAGGTGAACGTTGACTTGTTTTGATAAAGTAACACCTCAACGCCGCTGAGGCACCGGGCCACTCTGAGGTGTTAAACAAATAAACTAATGATGCAACAATGAGCCAACACAGAACAGGTAAACATGTTAGATTTTAACTTTTCATGTTCAGACTAAGGAGAACTTTCAAATTATTTTAGAGTCGTTTGCTTGGTTTTAGTTCAAAAGTTTGGGAAAGTTGCTTCTTTTCATTCTTGTTGGGATTTAGATGAAATATTGATCATTAACCAAAACCAATCTATTAAGTACAAACTGTTTACAGTGGTTTAGGTGAATTTTGTTGCCATTTGACAGAATGAAGATAATTCTCCCTGTTCTGTGTTGAGCATTGTTAAGTTATTATTATTATTAATATTATTATGAAGATAACCATTTATTGAAGGTATCTTCACATTTGCAGTAATATACAGTGCAATCAACCTTATTTAC